AAGTGGGCAACCACTTCTGGAGAGATCTAAGTGACACATACTTTCCTGGGAAAGCCACTGCATACCCAAGGAACATGTTTTGGAAATGTTGAGGCATGTCTATTAAGTGGGGTGAGGAGAGATTCAGGTTCCCAATCCTGCTGGGTTTGAGGACAAAGAAGTCAGCAGAGGGTTCTAGTCTCCATCTTATACAGCTGTATCCATGTTGTGACTAGCATCTCATACCTGAGATCACCTATTTCCCAGGCAATATTCATAGATAGATAGATATAGATATAGATATGGATATAGATATATAGATAGTTCTTTCTTTTTAAATTTATTTTCAACTTTTTCCCCCTTTTTCTGTTTTTACTTCATTTTTGTTGTGCAAATATAATTTTGCATTATTGCCTTCTTTAATAATGATGGCTTCATTTTTGCTAGTTTTTCTGCTCCTGTTTTTTTTTTTTGCTCCTCAAATATATCCCTTAGATTATTTGTTGCTTTGTTTTTGGTTTGATTTATAGTATTTTTGTTTTTCTTTTCTATTTGGTAGAAGTGGGATCTTGCATCTGCTTTACCTAGCAAAGCGCTGCAGACATCAAGGCACCCACTCAACCAAGGCCCCCAGAGGTTAAGATTTGTGGGTGTAAGTCAAAGAACTCTACTGTACACCACTATTACAACTATCTCTATCTTTCTGTTCTTCTCTTCTTTTTGACAGTCTTCCCTTTTACTCCACCCTGATCCTTTCTCTTTTCTCCTTTTTAATCTTTTATCCTTTATTGCTTTTCACTCATCTCTTCCTTTTAGACCTATACCAAAAGGACACTTCAATGCCTTAGAAGCATAGTAACTTAAAGAGCAGGAAGAAGTAATCAAAAAAAGCAACTAAAGTATAAAAAAGACAAAGATGGTCACTTCACATTGGTCAAGGGAAAAATATAACAAGAAGACATTTCAATTCTAAATATTTATGCCTTAAGTGCTCCCAGATTTACAAAACAGACCTTAATTAGTCTGAGCAATATGATATCCCATAACACTATAATGACTGGAGACTATTAAACTGAAAAGCTTCTGTACGGCTAAAGAGACAACAACCAAATAAAATAGCCTTCAGAATGGGAAAAGATATTTGTGTATTACAAATTGGACAAAGGCTTGATAACTAGGATCTACAGAGAAATCAAATTAATAGCAATCCATATATCAGTGGACAAGGGACATGAACAAAACCTTCTCTGAGGAAGACAGACAAATGGCTAACAAACATATAAGCTGCAGATGCTGGCATGAATGTGGAGAGAGGGCAATACTTTTACACTGTTGGTGGGAATGCAAAATAATATAGCCTCTTTGGAAAGAAATATGGAGAATCCTCACAGACTCCAATTAGATCTCCCATTTGACTCCAAAATCCCACTACTAGGTATGTACCTGAAGGAAAAAAAATCATTTTATCATAAGAAAATTTGCATCAGATTGTTTATCACATCTCAATTTAAAATTTCCAAGACTTGGAAACAACCTAAATGCCCATCTACTCAGGAATGGATTAACAAATTGTGGCACATGCATACCATGGAATACTTATTTTTCAGCCATAAAAAAGATGGTGACTTCACAAATTTTATAATATTTCAGATGGAGTTCAAATACATTCTTCTTAGTAAAGTATCACTATACTAACATGTAGCCAGTAGAGATTCTAGTGCACACCCACATAGGACAAAAAGTCGTTTCAATTCAAGTTAGCAGAGGGCTAATGAGAAAAGGGGAGGGTGTTGGGATGCTCTCACTGAATGAGCATGGAGTGGGAGTGTTTGGCATACTTTTGTGTGGGGGATGTAACCACGAAAGGGAATCTAGCTAACAAAATCATATATTTTGACCTGGTTATTTTTACCCTTACATTAACCTAAAATAAATTTACTTTAAAAAAAATACAAAGTAAAAGGATAAAGGAGATATACAAACCAAAAAAAGAACTTGTGGTAAAACCTCTTGAGGATAACAGCCTGGAAAAAGATGTTATGAAGATGACCCCCTTGGCAATTTCAGCAACACCAAAAATAAATAAATAAGACCTAACAGAGCTAAAATACTTCTCACACCTAAGGGCACAACAACTGAAGCAAACAGACAACCTTCAAAATGTGAGATGACATTTGCATGTTAAAAATTTGTCAAAGGCCTAATAACCAGAATCTACAGAGAACTCAAACTAATCAAAAACAAAAGAGTAACCAATTCCAATTTGAGCAAGAGATCTGAACAGAAAGTTTTCCTAAGAAGACAGATGAATGTTCAACAAACACATGAAAAAGTGCTCATTGTCCATCAGAATCAGAGAAATTCAAATCAAAACCACCTTGAGATATCACCTAATCCTAGCAAGAATAGCCCATCATGAAGTCCCAAAGTTATAGATGTTGGCTTTTGTGCAGAGAGAAGTGAAAAATTATATGCTGTTGTTGGGCCTGCAAACTAATACAGCCCTTGTATAAAGGGCTGTATTAATAATGCAGAATACTCACACAGCTAAAAACATATCTTCCATTTGATCCTGCAATTTCATCACTAGGTATCTACCTAGAAAAAAATCATTTTACCACAGGGATATTTGCACTCAAATGTTTATTGCAGCTCAATTTATAATCAAAGAGATGTAGAACCAACCCATGTGCCCATCAACCCAGGAATGGATAAATAAGCTGTGGTATATGTATACCATGGAATACTATTCATCCATAAAGAAAGATGGAGACTTCTCCTATTTCATACTTACCAAGAAAGACTTGAAGAAGTCCTCCTAAGTAAAATATTACAAAATGGAAAAGCAAGCGTCCAATGTACTCCATATTAATATGAAATAGCAGATGAAATCTATACCCACATGAGAGGAAAACACATTTAAATTCAAGAAGGGGGGTGAGGAAGGCAGAGGGGATATGGTAAGCTCTTACATATTGGGTATAACGTAGTGTTATATGGCACACCTATTAGGTGAAGGGCTCAACTTCAACTTGAACTTTACCTAACAACACAATGTAACCCAACTGTATGTAGCCTTATATAAAAATAAGACTGAAATAAAACAAAGAAACCGCCAAATTGTTACAGAGTAACTGTACCATTTCACATACCCACCACCAACATATGAGTGATCTAGGCCATCCACCTCACCAGCCATTTTATGTTAGCATTCATAAAAGGCATGCAGTGATAAATCAAAGTTTATCTTAATTTGCATTCCCTTAATTGCTAGTGATGTTGCAGGGCCAACTGTGAGACTTGAGTTTGTGGGGTTTTGGTAAAGGCAGTGTCCTGAACCAATCCCCCACATACCAAGGGATAGTTGTACTTGTTTTCACATGTAGAATTTTAAGAATTCTACATATATTCTATCAGTCCTTTGTCAGGTATGTGGTTTGAAAATATTCTCTCCCATTCACTATCTTTTCTCTTATCCTGTTGACAGGGTATTTAACAGACCATTCAAAATTTTTTTGTTAAGTTCAATTTACCTAATTTTCCTTTTATGAACAGAATCATAAAGTCTAGATTCTGAAGATTTTCTATGTTACCTACTAAAAGGTTTTTTTTGTTATTATATTTATATTTACAATCCACTGTGAGTTAATTTTTGTAAAAATTGTGAGGCTTAGGTGAAAATTCTTTCTTTCTTTCTTTCTTTTTTTTTTTTTTTGTCTATGTCTATCCAATTGCTCTAGTATCTACCATTTGTTGTAAAAACTATCTTTCCTCTATTGAATTGCTTTTGCACCTCTGTCAAAAATTAGTTGGCTATTATTTGTGTAAGTCAATTTCTGGGTTCTCAATTCTGTTCCATTGTTCTATGTGTCTCCCTTTGCCAATAAATACCAGACAGGCTTGAGTACTATAGCACATAAGTGTTGAACACAAGAAGCATGATTCTGCCACCTTTACTTTTATTTTTCAAAATTGTTTCAGCTATTCTAATTTTTGTGATGTGCCATAGAAATTTTAGAGTAATTCTTTTTATACCTACCAAAAATCTTTCTTTGATTTTAATGGAAATATCATTAATTCTATGTATCAATTTAAAAGGATTGACATCTTTACTGTATTGAGCCAATCAAAGTATGAATATGATAATGATATGTCTCTTTATTCAGATCTTCTTTTAATTTCTTTATTTTATATAATTAATTATTTTTTATTAAATCATAACTTTGTACATTGATGCATATATGAGGTTCAGAGTACTGCTTCAATATACAATGTGAAATGTTAACATTGAACCAAGTAAAACATCCATCACAATTATACTCATTTCTTAATAGTTTTGAAATGTACTATTGTATCATGCACATTAGGTGAGGTTCCCTGAATATCCTCCCTTCTTTCATGTCCCCTCTCCCCACCCCTCTCTCTCCTCTTCCCTTCTACTTTATGGACTATAGTTATGTTTTGCCATTCATATGATTGTATAGGAGGTTATATATAGATTTCATAGTAGTATTGAGTACATTGGATACTTTTTTTTCCATTCCTGGGCTACTTTACTAAGGAGAATATGGTCCAGCTCCATCCAGGTTAACATAAAAGATGTGAAGGCTCCATCTTTTTTAATGAATGCATAGTATTCCATGGTGTATATGTACAATTTTTTTTCTTTTTTTTTACTGACAGAGGCTCAGTATGTTTTTGATTTTGACAAACCAGGGCACAGGCTATGGCAAGGGAAGGAAGCTGGGAAAGGCTTAAGTGTCAGAGTGGGATGGATGTGGACAAGAGGTGAATGGTGAATGGCTGAAGTTCTTCAGCCACTTGGCTATGAGCAGGAAGGACTGTGCAGGGCCTTCAGTGGCTGTAGGAGTGGGATACTTTCCTAAGCCCTGGTTGAAGACAAGAGCCCAACCCTAACACTCCCTCTTCCCTGCCTCTTCCTCAGTCTTTGGAACTGGAACATTTGGGCTTGGCTATGGTGGCTGCTGACTGTTTCCCAGTGCCTATCACTGCTGGTGGCCCTAGTCCTCACCACCACCGAGAACCAACAACACCTTCAGGAAGTCTCCAGAGGTATCGCCCTCAATGGCTTGGTGAAGAGACATGTCATATTTCTCAATGAATTCCCACTGGATATTGAGCTGGTCAGTCTCACTCTGAGAGATTATTATCCTGGTGAGGGTCTTCTCATCCATGCCAGCACCCTTCATTGACTTGTAAAGTTTGTCAGCAAAGAAAAGAAGCTTATTCTTGACACTTTGAACAATGGCCACAAATGCATTCTTGACATCCCCAGACATCTCCTTCTTGATGATGTGTTCTATATCACAGTTGGTCATCTTGATGAACTCCTGGAAAACTCTCCGTAGGTGAGGGTATCTGCAGGTGCACAGAACCATCATGAAACGTGTCTCCAAGGAAGTTTTGTCTCCACTAGGTGTGTCTGCTACCTCCAAGATCTCAGCAGCCACCTGGACATTTTCCTGGGCCTGGTCCTGGTCTTCTCCTCCTTCTTCACGGTTCATCGTGGCTAGAGAAATGAGGATTTGCCTGAAGTGGCCAGATGTGTCTGAGCTCAGACAACCCTCCAGGGACTTGTGATAGTCCTCTTTATAGGCATCATTGATGGCCTGGATTTCGGCATTGGTCCAAGTGGCCAGGATTTCGATAAGAGCCTTTTCATCTGTGCCAGCTCCCTCCATGGCCTTTTTTCAACTGCTTGGCAACATAGTGGGCCAGTGACATCATGAGCCCCAGAATCAGCCTCTCCAGATCTCCAGAGAGCTCAGACCAGGCCAGTCATTAAGCCCTGGCCAAAGTGAGACTTGAAGATCTGCCAGATCTGCTGCCTCTGAGCATTGCTGGTGTGTGATATCAATGATGGTGCCTTCATCGGTTCCAAGTCCCTTCATGGCTTTCCACAGTGCTCTGGCATCTTCATCAGGGTTGAAGTCATTGGCTGGACCCACTGTTCCCTTCAACTCTACTCGTGACACTGCACTAAGTTACCACATCTGATAGGCCACCTGAGCTGCCTCCAGGAAGAACTGGCCAGCAGCAGCATCATCTCCACCACACAGCTTCAGCAGAGCCTTCTTGTACTAGCCAGAGGCATCGTTCTTGATCATGCTGTAGAGAGACTTCTCATACTTGGTCCGGAAGATCTCACGGATGTCAAGCATGTCCAGCTGTCTCTGGGAGACCATGATGTGGATCAGGGTGTTGTCCCGAGTCCCCAGTCCCTTCATGGCTTTGAAAAGCCTTTCAGTAAAATACTCTGAAGTGCTCTGGAGACATTTCACCACAGCCAGCATTAGATTCTCAAAGTCCTTGGACAGCTCGCCTCAGATGCTGGCTTCGATAGGCTTTCCCATCATCTTCAGGTACTCATCAAACACCAATCGAAGATGCTGCTTGCTGCAATTTCCCAAGATGTGAATGTACTGGACTTCATCTGTTTCCCATTTCAGTTCCCCTGCTTCATAGAAATCCTGGACATCCTGTTGTACCACATCCCCCCACACTACATTGTCCTCCTCCCTGGTTCCCTGGAGCAGGACCACAAGCATCTTCTAGAAGTGGCCAGAGGTGTTGCCAATGATGTCAGACTCCAGGTCCCACTCACTGGCATCTTTGTATGCTGCTACCAGCTGGTGAATTTGCTCATTGGTCCAGGAAGCCAAGATCTCAATGAGGCATTTCTTATCTGTGCCAATGCCTGAGATGGAATCTTTAATCTTCTTGGCATCAAAATAGGCAAGTGGTCACATTAGGCCCACAATCAGCCATTCAAAATTCCCCATCAGCTCATATTTCAAGTCAGCAATGAGGTCCTTGCTGTAGAGGGACTTGTAGCTCTCGCAGATCTCCTGCCTCCGACTATTGCTCTGGGAAGTGATCAGCTCCAGTATGGCCTCCTTGTCACAGCCTAATCCCTTCATGGTGGTGTACAGAGCCTCAGCATCCTGGCTAGGGTCAAAGTTTGGGAAGTCATGAATGGAACCCCAGTACTTGGCACCCTGTGCTGGTTTGGCCATGGTCTCAAGTTCTGCAGCAGAATCCACGTGTGGTGGAGACCTCTTGTCATAGATGGACATGGGGACATGGAGTGCTCTGGGTCCACCATAATTTGTTAATCCATTCATGGGTCAATGGGCACTTGGGCTGTTTCCATGTCTTGGCTATTATGAATTGGGATGCAAGAAATATTCTGGTGCAAATGTCCTTGTAAAATAATTTTTTATCATCTGGGTCTATACCTGGCAGAGGATTGCAGGATCAAATAGTAGGTCTACTTTTAGTTCCTTGAGGGTTCTCCAAACTTCTTTCCAAAAAGGCCATATTAGCTTGCATTACCACCAGTGGTGTAGAAGTGTTCCCTTCAATCTGCATCCACACCAACATCTGTAGTTTTGGGATTTTGTGATGTGGGCTAATCTTACAAGAGTTAGATGATATCTCAAAGTGGTTTTGATTTGCATTTCTCTGATGATTAAGGATGATGTGCATATTTTCATATGTTTATAGGCCATGCACCTGTCTTCATCAGAGAAGTTTCTGTGAAAGCTCAGACGAGGCATGTCAGAACTCAGATGGTGAAACTGGTCCAGAAGATGGATGTATGATAAGATGTGAAATCCACAACCAGAGAAGAAACATCGTGCTGCTTCTCCTGTTAAGGAGTCAACTGGACACAGAAAAACCTCCATTGAACATCAAGAATTGTCTTTTTCCCAGGTCTGCTGCTTCTCAAAACACAGGAAAGCAATCTTTTACTTGGCAGGATCACATTAATTCCAGGACTTTTATGGAAATATCTAACTGAGATGGCTGACTGGTAGCAACCCTGGTCAGAGGCTCCTGAGCAAAGGAAAAAAAACTGGTTGGAATCAGATTCTATGAAGCCAAATACGGGGAGCTGAGCCTAGAAAAAAGTTCAGCAAGCTGTAAATCCAAAGAAGAGCATTTAAGATAACAAAATACAGGTACAAAGTGGGCCCCAGAACTGCTTGCTAGAGCTGCATGCCTCCTGTGGGTGACGGGTGGTTGCAGAGGAGTCCCCTGCTCTGGGCAGGCACAGAACTACATGCTAGAGCCTTGCATTCTGGGTGGGTGGTGGCAGAGCATTCCCCCACTCTGGAAGGGCCCAGAACTGCTTGCTAGAGCCACGCACCCCAAAGGTGGCAAAGGAGATCCCTGCTCCAGGGCTCTGGGTGGGCCCAGAACTGCTTGCTAAACCACACACCTCCTGTGGGTGGCGGGTGGTCACAGAGGAGTCCCCTGCTTTGGGCAGCCACAGAACTACTTGCTAGAGCCTTGTGCAATCCACGGGCGGTGACAGAGGATTCCCCCAATCTGGGAGGGCCCAGAACTGCTTGCTAGAGCCATGAATCCCACGGGTGATAGAGGAGATCCCCACTCCAGGGCTCTGGTGGACTGAGAACTGCTTGGTAGAGCTGCACACCTCCGGCAGGTGGTGGGTGATCACAGAGGAGTCCCCTGCTCTGGGCAGCCACAGAACTACTTGCTAGAGCCTCACACAACCCATGGGCTGCAACAGAGGAGTCCCCAACTTTGGGCAGGTCCAGAACTGCTTGCTAGAGCTGTACACCTCCAACGAGCAGACAGTTTCAGTATCCCAGCACGACTGAACCCGAACAAGACATCCCCCAGACACATCATAATCAACTTCACAAAGGTTAAGATGAAAGAGAAAATTCTGAAAGCAGTCAGACGTAACAAAAGCATAATCTACGAGGGGAAGAGTAATAGGATGACTACAGATCTCTCAGCTGAAAACTTTAAGGCTAGAAGAGGATGGTCATCGACTTTTAATCTCCTATAAAATAACTTTCAACCCAGGATCCTGTATCCAGGTAAACTGAGTTTCATCTATGGTGGAGAAATTAAATACTTTAATGATATTCACATGTTGAAGAAATTTGCCATAACTAAACCAGATCTCCAGGAAATTCTCAGACCTATTCTCCATACTGACCAGTGAAATCCTCCACCACAAAAGTAAACCCACTCAGAAACGTTAGATCAAATTCTAACTTCCACAATCAGAAAAGGATCAAAAATGTCTACTGGACTTTCAAGCAACTTGATGCTCAAAATTTTACCAGACTTATCAACAATTTCAATCAATGTGAATGGTTTAAATTGTCCTCTAAAGAGGCACAGATTGGCTGATTGGATGCAGAAACTCAGACCAGACATCTGTTGTATACAGGAATCTCACCTTACCTTAAACGACAAATATAGACTCAGGGTGGAGGGATGGTCATCTATATTCCAGGCTCTTGGAAATCAGAAAAAGGCAGGTGTTGCAATTTTATTCACAGATACAATAGGTTTTAAACCAACAAAAGTAACCAAAGATAAAGATGGCCACTTTATATTTGTTAAGGGCAATACTTAATGTGATGAGACCTCAATTATCAGTATATATGCACCCAACCAGAATGCACCTCAATTTATAAAAGAGACTCTAACTGGTATTAGCAACTTAATGTCTCCCAGCTGCATCATAAATGGAGAATTCCAGCATCCATTCATGATTAGAACACTTAAGAAAATAGGCATAGAAGGGACTTTTCTCAAGTTGATAGAGGCCATCTACAGCAAACCCACAGCCAGTATCGTATTGAATGGAAT